TCTTAAAGTCTAGTTGCATAACAAATTGTGTTATTTATTATATGTTTTGCATATTTCAAACACTAGTTATTGTGATTTTGATTAATAAAAGTGCACCAAAGCCTCTCCTGTGACCAATCTCGGCACATTTTGGCAAAAACGTTCACATCGGGGCGCATTCCTGTGCAGTTTTCGAGTATTTGAAGTCATTTAGTTTGTGATATCGGGAGTTTTGTGCCAGGGGGAGGCCTAAAGGCTTGCCCTACATGATTCATTATGCCTGCCCATCAAGCTCTGGCCTTTTTCCAGGAGGGCTCTCGTCATTAGCTTGCCACTTGGTGGCCAATTGCTGGAGACAAAAGCAGCAGCCCACCCCTGCATGCTCTGATTGCTCTGAGAGAGAGAGAGAGAGAGAGAGAGAGAGAGAGAGAGAGAGAGAGAGGATGGGGGGGGAGGATGGGGGCCTCCTTTTTGGCATGGAAGGACGCAGATTCCTATAGTTTTTGCACAGGGTATCCAGGACAAAGGTAAACAGGGTCTCTGTCAGTTTACGTTTTGCGTTTTTGGCTGATTTACAGTGGGGGAAATAAGTATTTGAGCCCTTGCTGATTTTGCAGGTTTGCCCACTTACAAAGAATGCAACGATCTATAACTTTAATCATATGTACATTCTAACAGTGAGAGACAGAATCCCAAAGAAAATTCCAGAAAATCACATCATATGAATTTATAAAAATTGATAACCATCTGATGAGGAAAAATAAGCATTCTTTGTAAGTGGGCAAACCTGCAAAATCAGCAAGGGGTCAAATGCTAATTTCCCCCACTGTATTTGCTTCTTTACCCTGTATATAGCTAGGTCTTAGTTATAGAAAACATATTTATTGTGCAGGAATAAGGTCTTAGCTCTGTCACACTGGTAGACAAGTAATCCACATTTCGTTGTCAAGATTCACCTTGTGTTTTTTGTGCAATGACTATAAAGGAAGTCTAAGTCTAAGTCTAACTATACGGCCAATAAGCATCTTTGTAAGTGGGCAAACCTGCAAAATCAGCAAGGGGTCAAATACTCATTTCCCCCACTGTATATTTGTGGTTTGATACGTCTTCGTGATCAAATTAAACCGGTTAATAATCAACATCCAGCTCAGACACATGTAGAGAAAATATTTCCTTTTAATTTCCGAACATATTTAACTGACAATCGTCACATTCTTCTTGGTAACACCGCCGCTGCCTTTGTGGTCTTGGCAGGTGTTTAATCCCTCAGATAAAGTCTTCATTTCAAATAAAAAGTGAAGGACCGGGGAGATATATCTGTCAAATATGCAGACAATAGGTTACACATTGTCCACGGTTTTGACACGACGTGATAACAACAAATCAAAGGCTCGGACTCGTCTCGATCCTTTTTTTTAAGGCCTCCTGGCACTGACTTTGCTCCAGGCCCTCCGGTTATTTGGATATATATCAGTCAGATGAGCAGTGACCTGGCAGATAAGACGTTACATGGCAGGAGGAAACGGGGGACACAAGGACTCACTATGAAGAATCGCTGGAGCGAGACTGATCACAGCCAAAAAAAAAAGCAAAGAATGAGAGTTTATTGCCTTTTCCTTTTTCTCTCCAACAAATCTACGCCGACTATTTCTTGGATCACGTTGACACGTTCTTCTCTTCCCATCTAACGAGTGAAATCACATCCTGAAAGGTGTTTATTCACTTCACTTCACTTTATTTTGGTAAATTGTCCACATTAAACACAAGAAACAACAAAAGGAAAAAAAGAAAAAAATAATAATAGACAGTTTACCAAAAAAGGAATAGGCCGAAGCAAAGCTTATTCTTATGAGAGTGGGACATTTTTCCAGAATGAGTGAAGATTCAAGGACTTTCTATTCTATTAAATCATGAAAAGTTCTCTGTTGTTTAACCCTTTAAAGCCTGATCCAAAAAAAAATAGGAAGAATATTGGATGCTTTTAGTCTGAAGTCTTTCTTTGGCCCCTCAACAACATATGAAGAAAAAAAAACAGAAATGATTTTGATCAAATTAGCGTGCAATAAGTCAAAAATATATGTTGGTGTAGTCTTCTACTGGCTGTTATCAGGTATATCTGAATGTGTACAACAGGGGTTTGAGCAAAGCTTTTACCACTGAATGATGCAGAAAGTCTCACATCCAAAAGACTTCAGAAACCGTATGAATCAAATATGACACATTTGGCATTATAGGGTTAAAATGTCAAGAGCAAAAGAAAACCGCCTTAATTACCACTGATGGATTCAAAAGCATTTATGCTGGATTTTGTTTGGAGGATCTCAGGAATAAGACCAAGTTGCCAGTCATTCTTTTACACTGGGAAATCACAAAAGGATGAATGAGGGGAGAGTCCTTGTTTGAGGCTGCAGCTTTTGGGTGGTCCACAGGTTGGAAGCCCTCTGGGAGGGATCAGGGAGACCTCCACATTTAATACCAATAAGAAGACCTGTTGAAACAGGGTAGACGCTAACTCTGCCACAACCTGGCATCCACTCTCCTCTCCATTTGAAAACATCTTTTCCGCAAAGCTATGACTTTTCGTTCTCCCTGTACGTGTGAGTAAATGGTTGCGATTCCTGGAAAAATAAACCGGTTCTGTCTCAGATCTGAATAATACAAACTTTAGTTATATTATATGTCTCACCACTATGTAAGCCTGTAAAATACCCCGAAATACATCACAACACAATGTAAGATGTTGGTTTAAGTAACTGGGTCCCAAATGCGTAAGCCGCAAACTGTGCAGGGAGATGTTTGTTTTCGTTTCGACACTATTCACACACATTTAAACGTATTTGAGTCTGACCACAGGTCTCTGAGAATGAGGCTCTTTTCTCAAGAGATTCTTGGTGGTCATTGTTCAAGGAGCGGAGAGAAGTACTCGCTCAAACCCCCCCCACACACACACTTACACACACACACACACACACACACACACACACACACACACGGTCTGGGGGTTCAAACACTTCAGTCCCAAGTGCTGCTCTAAATGAAAGGGTTACCGCTACAGGGATCAGACATGGAAAGCCCATTAAACTCAGTTCAGCTCTTGTTTTGAATCATAACACAAAGTTTTCCCAACTAATTTAGCTAGATATGATGAAATAATATGTTTTAGTGGCTTTTAAGACCAAATTTACAGAGTATTTATTTGTTTTTTTGTACTCTAATAAAACAATATATTCTTTTAGTTACCGTATATGACTTTCATGTTTCAGCATCTTTTGATTTACCCTTTTTTTGATAACTTATTATATGAGTATGTTTAGGACGTGAATGAAAAATAGTTGACTAAACTAAATCTACTTGTTTGGATTGTGTATGTGTGGTGGGATCCTAACCCGCCTTCTGTGAAGTCTGAGTGATGCAGTCAGAGGATTCAGGTTACCGAAACCTACCGGGCTCTTTATGTGGTCGAGTGTTATGGTTATTTTCCCACACTTCTGTTTTTAAACTGCACGGTAAAGCACAGAGTCGGACTCCTGGCTGAAGTCAGTCATCATTCACATATGTATGCAACTTGTCAACACATTAAAACACAAAATACTGCAAAACACCGAATAAAATGACATTGCATATCATCATCTAATGTGCAATTAAGACTGAAAATAAGTTAAATAAGCTGTTTCTTTACATGATTAAAGCCGAAAGCATTCTGCGACCTAATGTACAAAAATGAATGATTATTGAATTGATTGATATGCTTCAATGGTGTCACCTTACAATAACCACATTAAACCTTGAAGGTGTGGTCAGCAGTTAAATAAACAACAGAGGTAAACCCCTGAAAACCATGAATAGTGTGCCTGCAGCGCCCTCTATTGGCCCAAACGCACACCCACAGGAACTGTGCAGTAGGGCTCCACTCAGAAAACAGTTCAGAGTTATATCTATCTTTTTTTTATTAAAAGTCTTTAAAACACCTGTTTGCAAACCTAAAGTATTATCATCTTTTGTCTTAAAATCGGTTTAAACTGCCTTCGGAGTTCAAACAAGAAAAATGATTGTTGTTAATCTATATGTAGTTTACATTTCTGATTCATTTCTAAATGAAGCTAACTTTTTTACTTTGATTCCCATCCATCCATTTTCTAAATCTCTTATTCCTTAATGGACTGGAGCCTATCCCAGTAGCCAATGGGGAGAGGCGGGGTCACCCTGGACGGTCCCCAGTCCATCACAGGGACACACAGAGACACACAAGGACCCACAACCACACACACTCACACTAAGGGCAGTTTGGAGTCCAACAACCTAACATGCAGGTTTTTGGACGGTGGGAGGAAGCCGGAGAACCCGGAGAGAACCCACAGACACAGGAGAACATGCAGACTCCCCCCAGAAAGGTCCTGGTTCCCCCGGGACTCCAACCCAGAACCCTCTGGTCCTGGT